TCTGCTCAGGGTCTGGCATGGCAAGTGCCCAAGTCAAGGCTAATTTTCAGCTAGAACATCTTTCAGAATTCCCAGGAATTATGATGGGAATTCTGAAAGGAAGGCAACTTGCCTATCTCCTGTTCTGGGATATCTTTCATGTGTTCCAATACATCCACAATAATTTGCCCTAGAGCAGAGGGTTCTCAAAGTGTGGTCCCTGGACCATCCATAACACCTGGAGATGCAAATGATGGGCCCCACCCCAGACCTGCGGAATAAACTCTGGAGGTGGGGCCCAGCAGTCTGTGCCTTCGCAAGCCCTGCAGGTGATCCTGACACAGGCTAGAATTGAGAATCCCTTCACATATACACAGCCCATTTCCTTGTCTCTCATTAGGGGAAGCCCAGCCAAACTGTTCTATGATTCTTGCGATTTACGTACCCAGGTGTTCGAAGTGGCAGCAGTGCACCAAGGATAAACGTCATCATAAAATAATGCAACTGCTCCATAAGGCAGCATTAATTTATGCTCCTTGTGAGGCACTAGCTTCTTCCCTTAGTTACTTTAAAGTTCTCCAAGGAGTGAGGCCCTTTTGGAAAATGAAAATACTGAGCCCCAAGGGGTCTTACATAGCACAGATGTAACCCTCTTTACAAAACCCTAAGACTATGAAAACAAGAAGCTTGTTTGACAGACTCCTTAAGTACCTCTTGTAATGCGGAACTCACTACGGATTTGAGTATCCTTTCTCCAAAGCACTTGGGCCCAGAAATGTTTCCAACTTTGGATTTTTTTTTTTTTTAATATTTGCAGAATACACACTGGTTCAGCAACCCTAACCTGAAAATCCCGGAACTCACTACGGATTTGAGTATCCTTTCTCCAAAGCACTTGGGCCCAGAAATGTTTCCAACTTTGGATTTTTTTTTTTTTTTTTAATATTTGCAGAATACACACTGGTTCAGCAACCCTAACCTGAAAATCCGAAATCTGAAATGTTCCAATGAGCATTTCCTTTGAGCATCATGTTGGTGCTCAAAAAGTTTGGGATCTTGGAGCATTTCAGATTTCAGGTTTTCAGGTTAAGGATGTTCGACCTATACTTGTAGCAGGCACCGTGTATGGAAGTCTTTGCAGGTGTTAAGGGCACTGTCTCTGTCCAGTTCCTGGCTCTGCTCTGCTAGGCCATAAACAGAGGAAGGGTGCTCCTGGGGCCCCAGAACAGCCCCGCCATGATCTGCAGGTGGCAAATGGCCATCCCCAAGGCTGCCCTCCTAGAGGCCAAGAGGCCCATGTCTTCTAGGAGACATGGACTCTGTCCCCTCCTGACCTAGCCAATCCTCCAGATGTGCTTCTGTCAGCATCCCCCTGAACTCCCACCCCATGTAGGCAGCAGGGATGACCACAGAGCTCCTGGGGAGGTGGGTCTGAGCGAAGGAACACTGAGTGCTCAGTCCAGACTCTGGCACCAGTCCGCTCATGTGGCCCAGGGTGCACTCGTTCTGGGCATCAAGTGCATGCTAGGTTCAAAGTCTCTTCAACACCTGAGTCATATGAACCCCAGCCCAACATATGTTTATGCAGTTAGTTTTCCAAACCCTCGTGCATTTTATTTCAGTAATTTCCACCATTTAAGACACTCGAGTTCTTTTCAGATACCGATTCCATCAGCCAGCATGTCCTCACACTTGGTTACGTCTAGTAATTTGATTATTATGCTGGTCATATCTGAAACCAATCCAAACACCAGCAGGACTGAGCACTGAAGATAGGTCCTGTGGCCCCCTCTAGAAGCCCTGACTGTAGGCAGCACAGATGCCCCTGCTCCAAGCTCCAGGAGCTCCTCACCTGTGTCCACTTATAGACATTGATTGACTGCTTTCCTCCCCCACTGACAGGAGGTCCAGGAGGGCAGGGGCCATGCAGCCCTGCTGACCACTGTATACTCAGCATCCAGCAAAGTGCAGGCACACAGTAGGAGCTCACTAAATGTGTTCGCAAGAAAGGAAGCAGCCAAAGGAAAAAAAAGGCAGACATAAAGGAAGTAAAAAATATGGAAGGAAAGAAGAAAAATTACATTTTTAAGAAAGGAAAAAACCAAAGGAAAAGAAAACGTAAAGAGTTTATTTGGGGTTATAATTATCCAGCATGTTAATAAATCCATGTAACTGATATCTGACCTAGAATTCTGAGCTTTCCATAGGGTTCCATGTGGGAAGAGGATTTGCCAAAATCCAGGTCCCATAATGACATCATTTCCCTGACTTTTCTGCCTACTAAGCCTGATAAGAATGACAGTGATGTGAATTACTGCTCAATTTTTAATAATCCATTTAAAAGAATTAGGGAGTTTCTGCGTCTGTGTCTTGTTTCTGGTGAGCCATCGCTGGCTCGGCCCCACTCAGTTTCCCAAAGCATCCATCTGGGAGCTCCTCCAGTGCCATGGCAACCAATGTATCACCCACACAGGTGTGCTTATTTTTGGAGGACTTTTCCAGCTCACTAACCCAATGATGAAAGGAAAGCAACCTGCCTCTTTCCTGTCTTCAGTCTCTTTCGTGTGCTTCCATTCCTTGACTTCTATGGCAGGACAGCGACCAAACCCACAAGTTTTCTGGTCCCTTGGGACATGTCCTCCCTTTGGGTCATGATGACTAAACTCACTTAGGATCAATCAGCCCACCCCTCTTAACCACACTAGCTCTGCCTGCCCAGCAGGGGCACATCAGCCCTCTCACATCAGCCCCACACAAAGAGACCATCTTCACCTTGTCCCTGATAGAACTATAAAGCCTTTTCTGCTATCCTTAACATTGTTTTG